GAACGAAACAAGGCACTACACTCTACGCTTGCTACACAGTTGCTCTCAATTCTACCACTAAAAATAATAAGGCGCCCTGGCCAATAAAAATCAGCGCCACATCATGAACTTCATGAAAGATGAGGGCGCCAAAAATGGCCCCCTCAAGAAAGCGTGAGGAAAACCGACATTTCAAAGATAATAAACCTTTCTTTTTCAGTTTTGAGATACGCTTGAAAAAATTAAATACTCGCAAGAAGGACACAAAAAGAAAAGCTAGCCGAGTTACATTTACCTTAGAAAGTGACCGACGAGCGCGTCGATCACTTGAAACGGCAAAGTGTAAACTTTGTCGAGCAGGAGGCGCAAGAATAAGCTGTTCGCTCCGCTGTACTCCATTTCGGCAATTTTCAACATCGCCGCAGACGCGTGCAGCATAGGGATGGACGCTCTCAACAGGATACTACCAATGATGGTGGCTTCACGCAATGAGCACGTCCCACTCTACAAAAAACAACAACCAGTCATGGGTTAAAATGACATGCAACGATCGCGCGGCATGCAGCCGGTCAACAAACGTGCCTCACAAAGAGGTAGAAGGAATCCTTTGAAAAACGCCGACGGTTTGAACAACGATTTGATCAGTGCCTAGTGCTAACGGTCAATAAGTCAATCATGGTCGATCGGCTACTGTAGTTCACCTGATATAGGTGAAAATTCAGCTTCTTATATTCGGCAATGTCGTCGCGAATACGAGGGAGCAGAATCAAGTTGTAGAACCTAGTTTGAAAATCAATCGAAAATCAGCATAAACACGAATACTGAACACCAACCAAAAGCCGCGGTAAGCCGAAATTCGCTAACCTCCTCGCCTCCTCTACTCTTACCTACCTTTGACACATTTTCTGGTTCATATTTGAAGCGAAAAGCCTCGTTGCCTGATACATGGCGGCCGCTGTCCACCTGTCCGGTTCCGTAAAATACAGTATCTAAACACAATGCCGTCGGGTAGATCAAGCAATAATAATCTAATCAAATATAGCAAATGGCTATCAAATACGTTTGGGCACGCAACGCCGCGCTATCAAATCGCTTTTTGCAAAGGAACTGACACATCTCTTTTCATCTCATTTCACAATAACATTCAGGCTGCTGTTTCAATAAAATCTGCATTCAGTCATTCAAAGCAAAAGTTATTTCATTTTCTGAACTTCAGTAATCAGGCTAATATTCTTTTCATCCATAGAATATCCGCAAAATCGAAAAGTTGTCAGAAAAATAGGGTATGAACATTTATTACACAGACATCACTACGGAATTGAAATTTTATACAAGAGTCGAATATTGTCAAAATATATGGTCTAAAAATGCTATTTACTATAAAACCTTAATTACATAACAGCATTTACACCGTGAAAATATTCAAGACACTTAAAGTCCAGAGAGATGAACATAAGAGTCATCGTCAACAAAGAAAGTTCCTGAACACGCTGGATTCGCTCTTCATGCCTTAGAGAATAATAATTAATCGGTTGATGAGAAAGCTTCTGTGACTGGCCGTGCGGCGAACAATAAAATCAGTGTATCAATGCTCATCGAGGCGAATTACGTCTGATTTTGTAACGGCCACAACAGTTCGTGCGATGTAGCTAGAGAGAACATGAGAACAACTCAGTGATTCAGTTATCAAGCATAATAACATTTTGTCTGGTGTACAGCCTGCTTGTACAGAATTAGTATTGTTTACCCTGAAGAAATTCACTGCTGTGTGGTCGAAACGTTGGAGGTAGTAAAGGCTTCTTATTCGTGTTCGATCGGATTACCAGTGGATTCAAAATTGTTGCATCAAAATATGATCATAATTTTTTAAATACAGTAAAACCTGGTAAACTCGAAACTTAAGAGACAATAATTTCGAAAGATGTAAAATCCAGTTAATTCGAATTTTGCGAGAAAAAAACTCCGCTGTCCATTAAATAATAATATATGAAATACAAAAAATATGCATACGCAGTAATTTGAATCCAATTCTCATATATTTGAATAGTTGTCTTTAAAGTTAACATTTCGTTTCTATAACAGTTTAACAGAACAAAAATAGAAATGTCAACGTTATCACTATTACCTGTTAAGTACTTAACACTATGCAAACCGGTAATTATGAGTTCAAAATATGAATAATGACCTAGAGAAAGCGTATGACCGGATCCCACGCAACAGTCTGTGGACATGCCTTCGTACGTACGGGATT